GTTTACATTTTTCTGATGTCACCATTCAGATCAGGTGAACTGGTACTTGCTTTTAGCATCCTGCTGAGCTCCTGACTGCTTTTTTCCCACCTAATGCCTAGCAGCTTTTCACAAACACCCCTGTCCTGGGTGCTGACACAGGGCAGCAGTTACCTTCGATTTTCATTGAGGTCCCCCTGAGGAAGAATATCCTATAACCTGGATAAGGAAAGTGAGTCCCAGCCGATGGAAGAAGAGCAGTTTAGTTAAGTGTGGTACAGCAGCTTTGACCCCGCCCTTCTCAGATCATCTCTAGTCAACAAGTTTTGCCCTGGCAATCTTGAACCTCCTCAGGTTTCTTTCTTCCCATTTCCTGGAGAGTGTAACTGGCTCTGAAGAAGGGCCCTTACAGGGAAAAGATAGTCCGTGTGCATGTACTTGTTCACAGGCTGTCATACTTCCTGGTTCAGCTGACCGCTTGGGAGAAATACCACAGCCAGTTCTGAAAGGACAATCTGAAGTGGGTACTAAATTATGAAGTGTTGCAAACACTAGAGAGGAAAATCAAGGAAGGCTATTGGCACTATAGAAAAGGTTAAAAAATCAAAATCATTCTCTGCACAGAACTGACAAATAAGATTTAGCTAAAGGAAATATAAGACTATGACTCTGGGAACGCTAACAAAGAACTGTTGGGCCAAAAAGGGATAATGAAAATGGCTGTAAAGCACCAGGATTAAAAAGCAAATGTGCTCATAAAAAAGCTTTCAACGGAATAGACAGAAAACAAGCTATTTTGGGTAATTATTCAGTGGGGACAGTGGTTTTGTTTTACAGATGGGAAACTGAAACCTTTAGAGGGAAAGTGACCTGAATATTATCATAAAGAAACAGAACTCCACTGTTCTGACTCTCAACTCCCTTTGCACCCAAATCCAACGACATTCCATCTTTTATGTTCCATTGTTCTCTAAAAGCAATCCTCTTGGATGTGGAAACTTTGATGCTCTTGGAAATTGCTTCTATATTTGTCTAATGCCAATTTCTGTGCTAGAGAATGTTGAAGTTCAACCCCCAAACAGAACTTGGCATGGTCTATAGCTCATTACAACTCCTCATTAGTTGTGTCTCTTGGGGCAACTATGGCATTCCTGAATGTGACTCAGTATCACCAGTCACAAAGGAGGGTTCCCGATTAACCTGAACTGAGCCAGAGTAAAGACTGCAAAAAGCTCTAAGCAAATGAAGTAACACAGCTTGTATGAAGAAAGTAAAACAATTATACAAAAATTTCCTGAAATGCCATCTTAGTATTAACCACAATGCCTAACACTTATTTTACATATATTACACACTCGGCACTACATTTGTGCTTGGCATTCATTAATAATTTATTTCTGTCTATGACCCTAGGAGGTAGGTACTATGATTATCCCTATTCTAAAATAGGAAACTGAGTCATATAGATGTTAAGTAACTTGCTGTTCAGGCAAGAAACATGAATTACTTTAGAATAATTGGACTATATCAACTGATACTGAGAATCCTGATTTCAGAAACCTTGGAAGAGCTCTGTAGGTTAAAAATAACTTCATCAGCCCAAATAAAGTATGGAGTTTAGTTCACAATAATGTACCAATGGCAGTTTCTTTGTATGGAACACCCTTTAAATGTGCCATAGTGATGTAAGATGTTAAAGGCAGGGAAAACTGGGTGTACTCATCTTTACGAGTAATGTCTTTACAATTTTTCTATAAATCTAAAATTATATAATAAAAGCCTAATATGCAAATTGTCCCCTCAACCAGGAGTTCAAATGTGAGTTCGACCAAGGGGTGGAGTCAGCTGGAGGCCCAGGCCGGCGGGGGTGGCAGGCAGCTGGGGGAAGGGAGGCCCCGGCTGGCAGCCATAGGGATCCTACCCTTGCATAAATTTCGTGCACTGGGCCTCTAAAATTAAAAAGTTCTTTAAAAACACACACACAACACTTTATTTGTATACTTCACAGAGGGAGCTTTTCACTGACTCAATGCAGATAAAAACAATGCTTTTCTTTCAGAAGAGCATCGAAAACTGTGGGGCTCAAGCCCTGACCAGTTGGTTAGAGCATCATCTTGATATGCCAAGGTTGTGGGTTCAATCCCTAGTCAGGGCACACACAAGAATAAACCAATGAATGTATAAGTGAGTGGGACAATAAATCAATGTTTGTTTCTCATATATAAATAAAATTACTGTTTAAAAAAAGAAATCTGTGGGGCTCTCACAAGACTGCACATTTCACATGTAGTAAGATAATGTTCAGGTCCCCTTTAGTGCTAATTTATTTAGCTGCAGAGACTTGTGCTGGAGTTTTAAAGGCAAATTGGAAACTATTTCCTGGAACAACGCCTCACAGCATGCCTTTTGATTCTTGGATTATATTTCTTGAATTCTGAAGAAATCTGCTTTTTTCCCCCCTTCTGTGCATTTTTGGTGCTGAGCTGTTTCCGGTTTTCCCACACTCCTGCCTGTCAGAGAGAAGAAACCACAAAAATGCAGCAAAGCAAAGTTTGTCCATAGAGTTGCAATTCCACCTCTGAAGGCTGGAGAGCTCTCCTGCCAGCAGTGGGTTCAGGGCAGCGAGCGGCGCCTTCAGATGGCCAGCCCGCTGCCTGCTGCCCAAGCCTACCTCTCTACCAGCAGACCAGCTAGCCACATGGGCCATCAGGCCATCTCAGGATACTGGCAACCATCAGAGAATCCACAGACAGAAAGTGTGCCGGCAAATGCAATATTCATTTGCGGCTCACTCATTTTCCTGCCTAACTGTGTGATTCTCAAACCTGTACAAAAGAGTGTGATTTAGAAAGCGTGTGCCAGGTCCATGTACTTTACAAGTATTAACTCTACTAATATTTATCAACTGAAGCAGATATTTTTTTCACCTCCACTTCACAAATGAGGAAACTGAGGCCAGAGATTAAGTAACTAGTAACTTGCTGGAGGTCTCCAGTCAGTAAAGCGTGGAGCGGGAATGTGAATACAGGCAGTCTGCCCTGAGGCTGCACCCTTAGAATCGGACTCTCCTCTCTCCAAGGGGAGAGGCCATACGCTTCCTTTCTATTGTGCTCCTGGCTTTTAGCCAGGAATGGCAGCCTTCCTACTGCCCTTCTCTACTGCTCCAGAGAGATCTGTAAAGTCATGACAACACCAATAATTTCCAGAATGGTGCTTGATACCTAGTAGGCACTGAATATGTACTTGTTGGATAAATGAATAATGGCAGCAATGTAATGAAAACAGCCAGAAGGGATTGTTTTCAATTCAAATTCAGAATTTGATTCACCGTGCAAGGGGGTAGCTGGGGGAACCATTTTTGCCATATCCTAGGATTCTTTCTTACCGAATCTGGTTTTATAAAGGACAAATGAATGAGGAGCTGCAACGAGGACAAGAAAAATACACAAAGCTCCTCCAGGTGTTTATACATTAGGAATGCCTGCCTCTGTCACACTGAAAAGTGCCCCAATTTTAAATGGAGAATTAGACCCAGCACCCTTTACCAGTCTATTTCTGGCTCACTAGCAGGAGGTAGAATGAAGGATGTGACCTACAAACATTTGATTCAGGAGTGGAAATGTGTTTTTGAGGTAAAATAGGTAGACTCACACGGCATTGAAGGGAACCAATGTGTTGCCACCCTGAAGCTGGTTTTTTGGGTTCTTGACTCTAAGAAACAAGACTCAGAGGGAGCCTGTGACCCTCTCCACTTTCCTGCCCAAGAGATTCAGACAGAGTAGCCTACTTGGGAAGGAAGCCTTGGCTTACTCCCCTTAAGGATCTTTACCCCGGCAGGAAGACTCTAAGCCTGCTTGGCGGTGAGCAACTGAGCCCACTGGTTTTGAGTTGCCTGGCAAGAATTTTCCTACCACGTTCCCCTTTTCCTCAGCTATCTATATAGCACCTATTCTTACTTCTGAAATCTGCCCCCCATTTTCTCCCTTGTCAAAATGTCTTATACACTCCATGTTCCTCGCTGTCTTTGGAATTTTCATTCTTATGTGAATTCCCCATGTGCATGTATTAAAACTCTGATTTTCTCATGTTAATCTGTCTCTATTAATTTGATTATTAGCATATACAGCAGAACTTAAAAGGCAGGAGGAAAAGTATTTATGTATATGTGTGTGTGTTTACTGATTTGAGGAAGAGAGAGAGAGAGAAAGAGAGAGAAAGAAATATTGATTGGTTGCCTCTGCACACAACCTGACTGAGGACTGAACCCTCAACCTGGGTATGTGTCTTGACCAGAAAGCGAACCCGCTATCTCTTAGTGCAGTGGTCGGCAAACCGCGGCTCTGTTGACGAGTTTGCCGACCTCTGTTAGTGTATGGGACAATGCTCCAACCAAGTGAGTCATGGCCAGGGCAGTATTATTATTTTAAGGCTCACCATATCAAAAAATGTTGCCACGGAGCCTGCTGACGAATGTCAGTGATAATCTTCATAATAAAATCCCACCCCTATGTCTTCCTATTCAAGTGCCTAAAACTGAGCAAAAAAAGGAGGGAGTGGCAGGGTATTGAATTTTATATGAAATTCTGCGGCTCTGACTCTGCAGAATGACCAAGAGAGGAATGCCTCCAGGAGGAAGTTTGCATTTCCTTTCTCCAGGCCCCCAGCTCTGCATCGTTACCTGGTCCACTGTGTGACTGTAGCTCCTGCCAGAAGCTGGAAGGGCTGGTTAGCAATGACCCTGAACCTGTGGTGGTGGCAGCTCTCATCACAATCCCTGGGAACCTAAGAGAGCAATGCCTGCCGCTCTCGCAGGGTAAGCAAGAGCCCAAATGCAGGTACGTTTCTACAGTTCCCCAGGCATTTCCAATTTGGAACCAGAGCTGAGAACCAGAGTTAGCCTTTATCACCCATTAGGCATTCTCGTTTTCAGCAAGTCAGTACAAACTGTCCTGAAGATCCCGTAAGTAAAGAGGACTATTAGCACAGAGCTGATATAATTCAGAAGATTATGGCAAACTTACTTGGAAGCCCTCTGCGATGTTGCCTTTTTGAGGACTTGTTTGTGATTGGATGGGGGTTTGGGGACCAGGGATGAGGAAGAACTTGGAGGTGGCACCACTTTCTGTGGCAGAGTGGCTGGCTTCTGGCCACCAGCTGTGGCACTTGAAATTCTGCAAGCTGCACCATTATTTATTGTCCATAAATTGGAGTTAGGTAGTGTCTGGCTGCCAAAGATAGCCTATCAGAAAAGGGAAAAAGAGAAAAGATCAGTTGTGATGCCCGTTACAATTCAGTTGCTATAATTGGACGAGAGGTTTGTAATCCTTCGGTGGGACAAAAGGAAAAGGGAAATTGTTAAAGTAATTTTTTAGGAAAGACTTTTAATAATGCCAGTGCAAGTCTAGATTCAGAGAAAGGGAATATCCCGAAGCAGAATCCAGGTGCTCTGTTGAAAGTATTCTCAGCAAGAAATCTGGGCATCGGGTGCTACACATTGGTCCACACGAGTGAATCAGAAAAGCATCTGGTCTCTCAGTCTTAGCTTCCTTCATTGTTAAATTCATCAAATGTTTAACAAATGTCTCCTACTGGATGTAAAGTAATAGAAGAATAGCACAGAACAAAAGGAACTGGAAGCCTGACTCAACCTGAGCCCTCTCCCAGACACTGCATCCCTCCAGAAGGTTTGCACATCTGAAGAAAGGGAAGAAGTCAGTATGGCTAAGGCAGAGAGAGCAAACAGAGTGGAGAGAGAAGGCTGGGACAGACACCAAGAGCCAGACCATGCGTGGCCTTGGGGGCTCTGTGTAGAATTCTGGCACAGTAACATCCCGTTGGCCTAAAGATTGTCACTAAATGTACATCTGAAAGCACTTGTACTTTCAAAGTGAAGTAACTACTTGAATACAAGATGAACACAAGCATATTTTTGCTCAGAGGGTAAGCCTACAAATAAATGAAGACCTAAAAATCATGATTTAAACATTACAAACACCAACACATATCGGTAGTTAGAATGTGAATGTATGCTTCCTTCAAGTAGACCTTTTAAAAATTCTTACAACTTATTTATCTCATTAGAAGATTGTTTTTTATCACAAATTTTGTTACTGGTTCTTCAATATTATTAACACCTATGCACCTATTTTATGGATACATAAAATGTTATCCAGCCCTTCCATACTCGTGCCTGGGAATGAACCACTTTAGGGAAATGTGTCCAAAGGTCCTGGGCTAGCCAGACATGAGGGGGACCAAGGGTTCCTGAATGGCCTGACAAAGAACAAAACAACTGCAGAGGTCGAGGACCGCTGTATTTTCAAAGAACCAATCCCAGATGTTCCATCTCTGCGAACCCAAGGGGAGACTGAAGTGCTGTTCACTCACCTCCGCCTCTGACTCAAACAAGGGAAACAAAGAGAGTGCTGAGTCCACGGAAGCCAGAGGGAACTCTGTGGGGTGCGGCAGGTCCCCAGAGGGCTCAGGAGCCCTGCTGCTGCTTCAGAGGACAAGGAACCAGAGGTGCAATAAGAGGCCAGGCCCGTGGCACTGGCTCCACAACATTCTGGCATTCCCCTCCACCAGGTGTCCATGTCCGGGGGCCGGAAGAGAGGAGGGAGGTAGAAATGGGCCACCCAAGGCTTCTATTTTCACCACCTCATTTCAATACGTGAGCTTCTGTATGAAGAGTGCTTGCCGGAGGCTTGATCAGTATGGGGGATAAAGAACATTTATTCACTGTGGTGACAACCATATTTTCAAGTTCATTGAGGTGTTTGTTTTTAATATGTTGTTGGATACGCAAAATAAAAAAAAAAAATTGCTGAACATGCATAACCCACAGACAGAGACAACAGGGTGGTGAAGGCCTGGGGCAGGGGCAGGGGCAGGCTAGAAGAGGTCATTGAGGGAAAAAAAGGGGATATACATAATACTTTCAACAATAAAAATTTATTTTTAAAATAGAACAAAATATTCAAACTAAAATCTTGCTGGGCCATCTAAACACAAAGAGTAAATGAAAAGAACAAGATCAAAACAATGAGTATAGTAAACATCTTTGTGTTAAAAAAAAAAAAGGTACATATATAACAGCATATACACAAAGACAAAACGTTAATATCTGCATGGAACAATTCTGAAAGATTACCAAAAAACTGGTAACTTCCATGGAGAACTGGTTAACTAGGAGGTTAATGTGGGAGAGAAACTAATTTTTTACTATATACATATTTATCTTTTTGGGTTTTGTACCATCTATATGTAGTTACTTATAAAAAAATAAATTACAAAAAATGTTAAAAGGAAGTTGAGTTTTAGTAATATTTAAGCAGGTAACAAATTAACTCTGAGTACAAGTAGAAGTGCTCAGATAAAGCCCAAGTATCGCCCGGGTGGTAGAGGCTAAAGAAGGAACTGACTGTTCCACACTTATGGCTGCAAAACCAGGTTAGGTCATCGCGAGAGGCAGAGACCCAGACAAGGGAGAAAGAGCATGGCTTTCCACTCACATGCTGCTGAGGATCACATGGAAGCTCTGTCACTTATCAACTAGTGACCTTTCCAAGATACTTAACCTCTCCCAAGCTTCACCCTCCTCATAAGCAATTAGTATTAGTTTGTTGGATTGTTGGGGATTAAATAAAGATCACATAAGCAAATCTAGCCTAGGCATTCAATAAAGAGTTCTTAAAATTAAAGCACCAGATACACACAGCAGACATTCAACTAATGTTCCGTTCCTTCTCGAAACTCAAACGTCCACCAAGAGCAGAATGACATGCAGCCTGCCTCCAGCTGAATGCTTGTGAGAGGCAGCTGGTTATGTATCTCTCTAGTCTCATGATGATGCTTACTAGCTGTGAAGTAAACTAGTGAAAATGAAAACATATGCTTAGGTTCCCTACATCATATTTGCTCAGTTCTCTTTGGCAGGAATACTCTTCTTCTCTTTTGAAGCTTATAAAAATTTATTTGTATGTCTTATCACATTTAGCACATTCTATCTTGTATTGCAGCCACTTATGTATGTATTTTTTTCTCTGTCTGGACAATACACATTGGAAATGGCTGGATTTCTATCTGATTAATTTTTGTTTCACCCATGGTACCTGGAATGACTTGTGATAGAAGGTGTTTAAGAAACATATACTCCATAAATAAAACAACCCTTACATTATAACAATTATTCATTTCTTTTAGCAACAATAAATTCCTGTATAAGAGAATAGGAAAGCTTGTGTTTACATAGAAATGTAATCTTATAATAGGGCCATTCTCTATTACACTGAATAGTGCCTAGTGTGTTATTTGTATTCAAGTGACCCCCAGCCCAACATGTAAGTAAGCCCTTCTGCAGATCCCAAACAAAAGGAAACTCACTTTCCCGGATGCGCACTTTGTGGCAGGACCTCAGACACTGAAATCCTGTAGTAATAGGGTCCATCTTTACAGAGACAACAACACAAAATAAGTTAGGTGAACTTACTGCCTCTTATCTGGGTATCACTTCTTCCTTTCTTTCTAATACCACTGCCCTGGTTTTATTTGGGTAATGTGTGTTCAGCTAAAAATTATGTTCCCTAGTTCCTCCTATACCTAGAAAAAACAGCTCTGAAATGTAAACAGATTCCAGGTGCAGCTGTGGGGACAGCCTGTAAGAGAGGTAGTCTGGGTTGGGACACATGTTTTGCCTTTTATTGTTCTTACCCAGTGCGATATCTAGCCAGAGGTGGGCAGGCATCAGGGAAAAGATCCCTGCTGAGGATTGCAGAGAAAGATAAAGACAGAAGGAACATGGGCTCCTGACAGCAAGCACCATGGAGTTTGGGTGAGCCTATCTCTAGACTTTGGATTATATGGGAATAAAATACATCTCTAACTTGTTTAAGCCATTGGGGGAGGGTAGGGGAGAGGGTTCAGTTACACTGCAGCCAAATGGGATCCTGAGTTGAGAAATAATTCTGAATCTACTAGAGTCAAGCTTGTTTAAGCCTCAATGCAACATGTATTACTGCAGCTCAGAAAAGCAGACACTTTTCAAATCAAAAGCTTCTAGGTTTTGATTTGTTTGGTGAGCAGACTCTGCTACACTGCATGGAATGAAACGATCACAACTCTATAACACACCAAGTTCCAAGAAGTCCGTAATGTAGACAGGTCCCCAGGTGTTTTACCAAGGCCAAGGCTAAATGGGATGAGATTAAATCAACCAAATCTGATAAGAAACCCAGGAAAATACCCAGGCAATGGGAAAAGCAAACATATAAATGGATATATTTAGACTAGCAGCAGCAATCCGTCTCCCCAGGCCCCACAGCCTATGTGAGCCCCAATCCTAGAACTTCAATGACAGGTCACGTGAACTGTTGTACCCTGAGAGTCGTTCATAAATGGACAGAAAAACTGTATAAAGTTCCCTCTGTACAATTTCTAAGAAATGGGAGGTGCGGGTATACAATATTAGCACTCTGTGCTTGTGGGCTGACAACTCAGGGATGGGGGCTGCACTGTCATCAGTCAATGTCCCGGGAATGTGAGGGCTGTGTAAGCACTGGCCTCCACTCAAGGCCTGGTCAACATATACAAGACTTTTGCTTCTTTATTGAGTGTGGGAAACAGCCATGCTTCAGCAAGGAGACTCAGAGAAAACCACAGTTTGAGGGTTGGCCTGGCCCCAGGCTAAAGACTGGAAAGGCCCTCCTTCTCCCACAACAGAAGGGGACTCGTGGGTGGGAAGGAGGAATTTCTGATAGACAGAATGCAGGCTGCAACTTGGAAGGTCACGGGGAAGCAAGATCTGGGCTCTCTTACTAGAAAGATAATACTATTTAGAGATTAAATTCTGGGAGGTTTTTTCCCCCCTAAATTCCTTCCAGAAAACACTCCTGTTGGTTTTAGGCTTCTTGGTGATGAATCTGATCTGGATGGTTCTTTGTAGTAAAATAACTCTAAATTAACTTTTTGAAAATGAAGGGGGCTAGGGCAGGCAATGGGTAATCTCTACTTGAATGGGTTAATGTCTCTGTGCCCTTTTTACTCTGATTTCAGAATAGCAAACATTTCTAGGTCTTATCTCTCCACATAAGATTTCATCCTAATTTGGGATAAAGTTCCTATTACACAGAATACAAAGCCACTTCTAGCATGTTTCTCCCTGGCAGCTCCAGTGCCAGGATGTGTATCTTTCTGAGCATGTAAGACACTAATCACTCACCTTACGACGACCAGACCCAGAGC